CCAGGAGGTTGTGGGCTACCCCTAAGGGAGTGGGGGAAATAGAGATGGTCTTCAAGCAGAGACTAGATGACCACTTGTTGGGAATGTTGTAGAGAAGCCTGCTATTCAGGTATGGGTTGAACTAGATGGCTTTTGAGGCTTCTTCTGATCCTGATATTGTGTCACTCTTGTATGATTCCAAACAACAAATGATCAGAAGTGTGATGACAGCATTTAAGTTAATGCCTTCCCTCGGAGATCGTCTCCAATTGATCCTGTCTGTATCTTGTTTTGGGCAAAGTACTGGGCTTAGAGTCAAGAGCACCTGAGTTCAAATCTGGCCTCCAACAATTACTAGCTGTGTGACCCTAGACAAGTCACTTAACCATGTTTGCCTCAGTTTCCTCATCTGTAAAATGAACTGGAGAAGGAAATGGCAAATCACTCCAGTATCTTTGCCAAGAAAACCCCAAATGGGGTCACAAAGTATCAGACATAAGACTACTAAACAACAACATATCTTATTTTTTACACAGTTGTATAGATGTTCTCCTGCCAACCTTCCTCCCCCATTAGACTATAAGCTCCTTGAGAGTAGGAACTGTCTTTTACGTTGCTTTTTATTCCCAGCACTTAGCACAGTCCCTGGAACATTGTAGGCATTCATTGACTGACACTATACAGGGTGTCCCAAAAGTCATAATGCAGTTCTACGCTTTAATAAAGCGTTAAAGATTAAATCTGCATCAAGACTTTTGAGACATCCTGTATGTCTTCTTTGTATTAATTGTTTCCATGTTGTCTCCCCCCATTAGATGGTGTGCACCTTCATGGCAAAGTGTTTTTGCTTTTCTTTCTAACGTAGTGCCTAGTTCAGTTCAGTCGTGCCCGACTCTTGGGTTTTCTTGGCAAAGATACAGGAGTGGTTTGCCATTTCCATGTCCAGCTCATTTTACAGATGAGGAAACTGAGGCAAACGGAGTTAAGTGGCTTACCCAAGGTCGCGCAGCTAGTAAGCGTCTGAGGTCAGATTTGAACTCAGGAACGTGAGTCTTCCTAACTCCAAGCCAGGCACTCTATTCACTGTGCCACCTAGCTTAATAGTAGCAGACCCTTAATAAATAAATACTTGTTTACATGAGTTGATTTGTCACCATTGCTCCCTACCTCACCAGTTGTTCAGTTGTTAGTTCATATCAGCAGCCTCAACAAATGATGAATAGTCATCAGATCTTTGTAGTTTACCAAATAGTATTATCAAGGCTTCTCTTTCAGCCCACTGACTAAAACAGTAAATGATACTAAGTGCTTAAACATTATAATTTGTAAATGAAGACTTTTGCATAGTGGATTTCCTTTCATTAATGCAATCAATCATAAGACTTCATCTCCCTTCGTGGAATGCCCTCCTGCCTCATTTCCACTTCTCAGAATCACTAGTTTTCTTCAAAGCTCAGCTCAGGTTTTACTTTCTCCACAAAGCAGATCTGATCTCTCCAGTTCCTGGAGTCTCTCCCCACCCAATTCTCTGTCGGTCTCTCTGTCTCTTCCTGTCTCTCTGTCTCTCTCTCCCTATCTATCTATAAATATATATGTGTGTCTGTATATACATATATGTAAAATTACTCCATATGTAGATATATAATAATTTTTAATATCTATACCAACATATGTAAATAATGTTTTCCTTGATTGAATGTAAGGTATGTGAAAGCAAGGAGTGTTTCATTTTTGTTTTTGTAGCTCCAGCATCCAGTAGGTGCTTAAGAAATGTTTATTGATTGAATCAATTATGTATCCCATTCTATTTCTAACCCAAAAGTATTCCTTCAATTTAGCACTGCTTTTTAATAAGCTAGAAATCTTTGTCTTTTGATGCCATAAAATAGTATTAAATTCTCTTCCCTTTCCCCCCTTGTTGCTCTGACTACCCTATTTTGTTGTAGTTGTTGCCTAGCAAAGTTCTTAATTACTTTTTGTTAATGTTGCACTTTATACAGTTCGCTTAGAAGGCCAAATGGCAGAGTGGAGTTCAGCCTGGCCCCAGAGAGAGCCCAGTGGCTTCCTCAGTGGGGTCTGAACCTAGAAACAGAAAGGGGAGGTAGAAGACAGAGAAACAGGCTGGTCCTTCCATAACAACTACATAATCTCACAAAGCCTTTCCATCTTGGTAAGACTGCCCAGGGCTTGAGTTCAACTAGCATAGCTTTTGAGAATCCAGGGTCCACCCTCAGGACAAGGCATCAGAAGGAGGTGTGGAAGTGTGTAAATAATAACCATTCATTAATAAGCTACCTAAATGGTAATATAAACATTGTCCCTCCCACCTACAGAGCAAATAAAAAAATAAAAAGATGCTTTATCCCTGTCACACACAGGGGTGAAGATATTACTCCAAAGACCCTTTTGGCTTGGAGCTTTCTAGTGGACAAAATGTCATTTCAGAATTGGTCTTCCTGGTCCCAATGTCATAGAACTTGATCTAGAAGAGAAAATCCTGAATTTCCCACTGCCCTTAATACTCACTATATATGTGTATATATGTATATATATATATATACACATATACATGAGCTTAAATGTGTGTGTATGTATCTATGCATGCATGTATGCATGTTTGTGTGTATATGTACACCTACATACTCAGGTATAACTTATAAGGTAGGCTGGGATACACTTAATATACTTAGACATGTATCTTTTTCAAAAGTATTCTCAAAATGCCATATAGCATTCGAATTTTTTAATGCTATAATGAAAAGGGGGGAAAGACTTCTTCTGGACTTTGACAATTTTTCATAGCAGCCCTGTCTCTTCTCAGAAGAAATGTCTGTCATCCAAGTGCCTAGTAAAGTAAATGCACCAGTCACCTAATAAAAAAAAAAAATCTGAAAGGCCATCTAGTCCAACCCCCTCATTTTATGGATGAAGAAATGGTTTCAGAGAAGTGATAGGCCTTACCCAAGGTCACACAGCTAGTGCCTAGCAGAGCCAGGACTCAAATCCAAACATAGTGTTCTTCCTACTACATTGCACTGCTTTCTATCTTGCCCAGAGTCATAATTCAATTCAGTCTGGCCAATAGTCATTAAGCATACATAAGGCAGCAGCTAGGTGGTACAGTGGTTGGAGCACTGGGCCTGGAGTCAGGAAGACCTGAGTTCAAATCCAGTCTCAGACACTTATTAGCTGGGTGACCTTGGGCAAGTCACTTAACTTCTGTTTGCCTTAATCCACTAGAAAAGAAAATGGCAAACCACTCCAGTATCTTTGCCAAGAAAACCCCATGGACAGCATGGTCTAGGGTGTCAAGAAAAGTCAGAAACGACTGAACAACTCTGCTAGGCACTGGGAAAACTAGAACTAGAACCTTCATTTTCTGGTTTTCGATCACTCTGCCAGGAGTAGTCTCTACTAAGGGAGCCCCAGTGACTTAAAGGGCCAAAGCTCTTATCCCCTAGTATCTCACAATTGCAATTAAATATCTGTACATATAAACTCAGCAATCACAGACCTGGAGCTGGAAAAAAGACCTCAGAAGGTCATTCAATCCAACCCCCTTACTTTGCAGGTGAGGAGCCTGAGGTCCAGAGAGATGTAAGTGAGCTGTTGGTGACAGAGTCAAGATTTGAATCCAGGTTCCAGAACTCTAGTTAGAATGCTCATTTCATTCCACAAGGCTTCCTGCATGCTCCCTCTACCCCTGAGAGTGAGGCTGGCTAGAGGACTGATACCAGGACCACCACCTGTTAAAGCCTCGGGCCTACTCTAGAAACCAAGAAGAGTGATAAGCTTCAGAGGACAAAATGATTTCTCCTTCACCTCAGCAAAAGACAAACAAAACAAAACAAAGAATCTTCACTTAACTGGGTTTTGTGTAAGTCAGGCACATAGGCACAAAGAGTGAAAAGAGAAGAAAGAAACAAGAGAACATCCCCTATGCTTCCAGCCTTCACTTCTAAAAGAAGCCGTGTAACTGCTCCTCCTCACCAGCCTGGGATGTTTAACTCCCCCACCCTGCTATGGGAGCTGCTTGGCTAAAGGGACTTGGGATGTTGGGGGCTAGGGTTACTCCCTCCCTCCAAGGGTGAAAAGAAAAGATTAAAGGAATGTAATCTATTCTAATTCTAAGGAAAAACTAGAAAGGCTCAGTTTGCTGCCCCCAAGATCTTTTATTCCACCCTGTGCCTGGGATCATAATGACTTAGAGCAGGGAAAAATACCGACTTAGAAAACACCTAGCCTAGCTGTCTCATTTTACACATTCAGAAAGGGGAAGTGATTAGTAAGGCCAAACGCCTAATATGAAGAGCAGAGAAACAGGAGTGAAAACCAGGGCCTCTGACTTCAAAACTTGGGCACTTTCCACCATCCTGTCCACAGAAGCCCAGCTCTGAGCACCTGCCACTCTCTCCCGATTGGAAGATCGTGAGGGGAAAGAACCCAGACTACCACCAAGGAAGTGTAGTTTTCAGGACCTCAGAGGCGGATCTCCAATGGTCACAACTCAGACCCAATCATATCTTCATAGTATTAAAGGAAAGGTCAAATACTCCAACCTTTTCATTGTACGGATGAGGAAACTGAGGCCCCAAAGGAGAAATGAAGTGCCTAGGGTCACCCAAGTCTCGGCGCTACAAGTAAATAACACAATACTCCCCTCCCTTGCATTTGGGAATGGGGGAGAGAAAGAATAGGAGAAATGGAGGAGATGTGCCTACAAAGATGGAGCTGGGATGCTAAACTTTGAAAGATAGCGAGAGATGTCGGTGCGGGCTGCGTGGGAGGACCCGGGATGGTTCGCTGGGGCTGAGCGCAGGAGGTCCACCGGGAAGGACCCGAGCCCAGATCCACGCGCGCACGGGAACACGGACAGACAGACACACACACACACACACACACACACACACACACACTGAGACAGCCCGACACAGACACACACAGCACCAAGACAAGAGGAAGGGGAAGAGCGAGCGGGGCTGCCAGGGCAACCAAAGGGGAAGGATCAAAGACCGCTTTACCGTGCGCCCCGGGCTAGCAGGGGAAAGCTTGGGGCCGCCGAGCTAGCCCTGCGGGACAGCCCCCGCGGACTTCAGTCCGGTCCACGCGGCAGCCGTGGCCTCCCCGGCAGGTCCAGCCCATCAGTCCCCGGGAGGGCTCGCGGGGCAGCTTCGGGGAGACAGAGGAGAGAGGACCGCACCAGCCACCAAGCCACCGCCCTCCTCCGCTTCACCCCCCTGATTGATGGAGCCCCCAGCTCCAATCCAGCCACGGCTGGCCTCTGGCTTCTGCAGCCCCATTGGCTAGGTGGCCCCTCGCCTCCCCGCCCCCTTTTCCTTCCACTCTCCCCCTCCCCAAGGGGACGGGGGCGGGGCTTCTCCCCTCCCTCGCACACAATGCTGAGCTGCCGGAGTGGCGGCTCGGGCGGGCGCTCTCTAACATCCACCGCTTGGATTGTCATCCAGGCATCATTGCTTTGCTCTCCTTTTTTTTCCTGGGGCGCGGGAGAAGGCTAGTGGTTTGGGGAGATGAGCTGAGCTGAGCTGAACGCCACTCTTGGATTGCTACAGCTGTCCAGGTTCCAGGCTGTCCTAGAACCCCCTTCTTGTTGGGGGGTAGGGGGAGGTGGGGGAGAACTGAGGGTCTGGACAGGGAGGGTGACTTCCCTGAATGTTAAAGCTGAAAGGGACCTTAATCTTAATTGAGCAACACGCATTTATTTAGCGCCCGCTGAGCTGTCGGCTACTGTCCTAGGCACTGGGGATACAAGGACAGAAATGAATGGTCCCTGCCCTCAAGGAGCATTCATGATTGGGAGGGGGGCCCTACCCGTGGCACCACCTATAAATTCCCACATACACATTCACATATATGTATGCGTGTATGTGTGTAGGTATGTATACAAGATCACAGGATCACAGATTTCAAGCTAGAAGAGACCTCAGAAGTCATCCAGTTCTGCCTCCTCAAGATGAGGAAGCTGGGGCCCAAGGAAGTGACTTGCTTGCCCAAAAGTTACAAAGCTTACGTCAGAGGCAAGACACGAACCCAGGTCTTCTGAGTCCAGAGTCGGTGAATGCTCTTTCCGCTGTGTTAAATTCACCCGCTCCTAACTCTACACCTTCTGTGCCCTCCCCTCCCCTCTCCTCCACCATAACCAGAGTCATAGGATTTACAGCTGTAAGTAAAGGACCTTACAGATCACCAAGTCTAACCCCACCATATGATCATTCTTCTCTCTGTCACCCCAACATTCAGTCAGTTGCTATTTTTTCACCTGCACAATATCCCTTACAATCCTTCCCCCTTCTCTTCTTTCCTACTGCCATTGCCCTAGTTCAGGCCTTCAAACCTCTCCTCTGGCCTAATCATCAATCACCAGGCATTTATTCAGTGTTTGATATCTATCAAGCTCTATGCTAAGTACAGGAGTCTTTTTGTAAAGCAAAAGGCCCCTGTTCTCAAGGAATTTACATTCTAATGACAGAGAGACAACATGTAAATAAATACATACATACCAGGAACATAGAGACGAAGTAGAAAGTAAGCTTAGAAGAGAGGATTATAGGATCATGAATTTAAACCATCATCCAGCCCCACTCCCTCATTCTACAGATGAGAAAACTGAGGTTAATTGACCTGCCCATGGTCACAGAGCTAGCTGAAGGCTTCAAATCTTGGTCTTCCTGACTTCAAGTATAGAGCTTTCCCCACCACATCACAATGCCTTCAATAATAATGAGCATTTGTTCAGTGCTTTTAGATTAATGGGAAAGCTAGATGGTACAGTAGAGTGCCTGGCTTGGAGTCAGGAAGACCTGAGTTCAAATCCAGCCTCAGATACTAGCTGTGTGACTCTGGGCAAGTCACTTAACCCTGTTTGCTTCAGTTTCCTCATTTGTAAAATGAGCAGGGGAAGGAAATGGCAAATCACTCCAGTATCTTTGCCAAGAAAATCCCAAATGGGGTCATGTACAGTCAGATATGACTAAACAATTAAGATTTGCAAAGTAAGTTATAATTATCTCATTCTATCCTCACAACAATGGTGGGAAATAGGTATTGTTATTATTATCATCCTCATTTTAAAGATAAGGAAACTGAGGCCAAGAGAAGTTAAGTAACTTGCCTAGGGTTACTGAGACAAGTTTTGAGCTCAAGTCTTCCCGACTCTAAGGCTCTATCTACCCACCTTATCACTTTTCAGCCTCTATCTCCAGGTACTTTGCACGTAAACTGTTTCTTAGTCCTCTGTCACCTATCATGAGAACAGAGATCTGCAATTAGAAAGGAGCCCATTTACCACCTAGACCAATTCCTGGAATTTAAGGATGGCACCACTCTGCTCCCAAATCTTAGCCAAAGTCACACAAAACTGGGTCAATGGCAGTACTAGGGTCAAAAGTACAGTCTTCTCATTCCTACTCCATGAGCTTTCCATGGCATCATTCTGCCAATCAGAAAACATTGTCTCTGCTCTCATGAAAGTGAAAAAAAATTAGTTAGGGAAGCAAAACACATATCAAGCAGTTAGGGAATAATTTCTGTATGGATATGATAAATCTTTTTCTTCCCGGCAAGCAGCTGGTGTTGAGGTCCTTCACTCCTCCCTTTTCTAGATGTTTAAGGAAGTAGCCCCAGGGAACTTGAATAATTTTGCTCAGCTGTTCATCAGAGAAAGAAAGGTCACCAGAGAGAGAGAAAAAGACATCCTCTTGTTCCTCCCTCTCCTTTCCATCTCCCCCACCCCCAAACCCTGGGATTTAGCAGACAGGATGTGTTGTTGTTATCAGGAGAAAGACCACCCAGGCACTGGAGGAGAGAGGATGCAAGTGGTAACAAATCACCATGGGCCAACCAGGAATTGGGGGAAAGGAATGATCTGCTTTTAAGGTATAACTCTGAGCCCCCGGGAGATCTCTTGTATGTGACACCAGAGTCTGTAGAGACAATCTATGAAAGAAAGCTTCTGAAGAGCTCAAATCATTATAGACAGAGCTGGGAGGGAACCCCCATTTTATAATTGAAATTGTGGAGGTTAATTGGCTTGTCCAGGACCTCAAAGTCACTAAGCAACAGACCTAGGACTCAAACTCACATTTTGGCTCTAATTTTAATAGCAACAACAACAACTACTACTACTCTTTATGTATTGCTTTACCTGCATTTTCTCATTTAAGCTTTATAATGATCTTGTGATGGGGTGCAGTTATAATCTCCATTTTGCATATGAAGAAGATGAGATTTTGGGGCAGGTAGGTGGCACAGTGGATAGAGCACCGGCCTTGGAGTCAGGAGTACCTAAGTTCAAATCTGGTCTCAGACACGTAACGCTTACTAGCTGTGTGACTCTGGACAAGTCACTTAACCCCATTACTTAGCCAAAAAAAACCAAAAAAATAAAGAAGACGAGATTTGAAGGAGTTGGCCAGGGTCACACAGCTATTAAGTGTCTGAGGCAGGAAAAATTCAGCCTCTGACACCTAATCCAATGTTCTTTTCAATACCTGAAATCCAGACTGTTTCCCCCCAGGGGAATCTCTCTAGCAAGAGATTCCAGCTACATAAAATCCATGGTCTTGACCAGGCCTGTCTAGGTAGGGAATAAGTTTCAGCTTTTCAGGGCAGTCCATGGGACCAGGATGAGGGGCAGAATCTTCTCATGAGCAAGCAATAGTCAGAGGATTACTCAAACAGGCCGTAGTCATGTCTGAAGAAGTAGTCCAGGCCGCAATGTAGAATGAGGTCAAATTCATAGCAGAGCCCAAAAAAGGAGGATGAGTCAATATGAGAAGCACAATCAAAGCCATGTAAGATTGAGAGAAGGTAGAGTTCAAATTTCAGGAATTAAAGGTCGGGTACCAGGTGAAAAAAATGATGTGCTAGACAAAATTCCAACTTGTCGCTCTACAGGCACATTCATTTTAACCTGGCTTCAGATGGGCAAGTTGGTATCACTTTTCACCTTATCCTGAATTCTGTATAGCTGGAGAATTTGTACTTTGCTACTCTCCCCAACTTTGATAGGAACTGTGGAATCTATGCTGAAGTAGCTAGGCCTTGTCGGTTCTTGATCAGAGGACGGAGAAGTAAGCAGTATATGAGGAAGATAAGTCTTGCAGTGGCCAGCAGGATGCTAGAGACACATACTCTGAAGGCAAAGAGCCCCTAGGAGAGGCCTAATGGTAACGAGAATAATAATAACAACCGTTAGCATTTTTTGTAGTGCTTTAAGGTTTGCAAAACACTTAACATATGTTATCTCATTTGATTCTTACAATACCCGTGAGGCAGGTGCTATTAAGCCCATTGTTACGGATTTAGAAACTGACTTGCCCAGGGTAACATAGGGAGTGAGTGCCTGGGATGTGAACCTTGGCCCTCTACCTGATATCTAGGGCTCTTTCTGCTATAGCAGGGTAGAGGCTAATTTTTATTAATTTCTTACCAGTTGGGAAATGAGGTGATACATAAACAGAATAACTGAGGAAAGCATTAAATCAGAGGCAACTGCTGCTTGTGGTGGTTCTACTGGCATTGATTAGGAAAGTGACCTGTCATCACTCACCTTCATCTTTTCCAGGCGTTTGAGGCTTCTATCCAGGTTAGCTCTAACAGAGCCATCATTCTGTCATTCAATTTTTCATGCATTTTATATCTCACCTCCCCAGTCAAATTGTAAATTCCTTGAGGACAATGATGGTGTCTTAAGCTTCCATGTCAGGCGTGCATGGAGGGATCCCCTGCCAAAAATAAAATACCTCATTTGTTTGCTAATGCTTGAAATTCTTTTAACATGGATTAAAGACTTATCTTCTACAATTATAAAGTAGGCTTAATATGAGATTGCCAGATGGGGTGGTCAGGACCATTAAAAGGTAACCTCTACCTACAACTACTACCATGTTAATCTTCTTAAAACATGATGTGTATCCCGTTCTCCTTTGCTCCACAATCTAAAAAGCTATCTGCTGCCTACTGCATTACATAAAATTGTTTTGCCTCCATGCTTCAGGGTGAATTTCAGTTACTCTGGAAGTTAAAATAATGATAATGGTGAATGGAATCAGGAGAAGCTATGAATTTAGAGGCTAAAAATGTACATGTGCCCATAAACCAATGAGTGTCTAGAGACTGGTTTTGGTTAGAACCAGCCCTAGGCCCAGATATACACACATACCAAGTACCCCCAGGTGATGTTTCTATTAGAATTCTCAATCCTA